GAGTTCATCACACTTGAATAACAATGTCAGTGTGGAATCCTACGATATAAACTATTATAATAGTCAGGAGTCTGCAGTATCTACCTCTCGAAAATGGGTGATCCTTGCTTTATAGTTAACGAATCACTGCATATTTCTTTGGCAGTACGTAAAATATATCCCTTTCTGTATCGGAACTGTGCATAGGTTTCTAGGATCCTTTGTACTTGTGTGCTAACTGAATCTTAATGGCAGCTTGAAAAACAACGATTGCAAATAGAGCACCTGCGCAAACTTATAACTTTCACAATAGAATAAAACCTCACTGAACTTTTATTGTAGAGAGACGGATGGCAGAAGAATTAACAGAACATCAGGACCTAAGAGCATTTCTAAGTAATAGTACATGACGAGTCAAGAGTATCTCTAAATAATAGGACATGAGGACCTTAGAGTACCTCCAGATAGTAGCATATGAGGACCTGAGAGTATCTCTAAATAATACCCAATGAGGACCTAAGGGTACCTCCAAATAATAGCCAATGAGGATCCAAGGGTACCTCTAAATAATAGGACTTGAAGACCTAAGGGTACCTCTAAATAATAGCCAATGAGGGCCTAAGGATACCTCTAAATAATAGGACATGAGGACCCAAGGGCACCTCTAAATAATAGGACTTGAGGACCCAAGAATACCTCTAAATAGTAGCTCATGAGGACCTAAGGGTACCTCCCAATAATAGCATATGAGGGCCCGAAGGTATCTTTAAATAGTAGCCCATGAGGACCCAAGACGTATCCCGAATATAGAGACTTCAGGACCCGAGTACCTTCCAAAGAATAGATAGATGAGGACCCAGTCGAACTGGGGCCCAATCTACTGGAACTGGTGTATCCCTAGATGGGAATGGATGGGAATAGATGGGAATGGATGGGAATAGATGGGAATGGATGGGAATAGATGGGAATGAATTGGAATGGATGAGAATGGATGGGAATGTCCGAAGAGTCTTTTCTCCCTTAGGTGTGGGTGTGGGCATGAATAAAAGAACAAGACTTACACCCACACCCCACACCCACACTCACCACACACTCACACCCGCACCCTCAAGTGATCGATTAAAACGTGTGAAAGAACCAAAAGATAAATAACATCTTTTTTTGTTTTTTTTTTTGTCGAACTTACAAGGGAACCCTCCCAGGTGCAAGAGCGCTTTTGAATCGGAGTTTCGTGCATCTTATAGACCTCGGTGAATTATGTTTATGGTTTAAAAGAGTTCGGGCCCGTGCCGTGTTCCTGACGAGATATCGAGGTTTTAGTGAATTTTCCCTGTAGTACCCTACGTTTCCAGCACAACCTTATTTTCGAATTTTTGACATGAAACTTTGGTCACATAAAGACTTCAGCTAGACTAGCTTGCAGAAAAAAATTCAGCACTTTTCGACGAAGTCTCTTCGAGATATGAAGATTTCAAAAAATGCATGCTGTATATACTATCTATGAAAAAGGCCTATATCTTCTCAGCTTCATATCTCGAAGAAACTTCGTCGAAAAGTGCTGAATTTTTTTCTGCAAGTTAGTCTAGCTGAAGTCTTTATGTGGCCAAAGTTTCGTGTCAAAAATTCGAAAATAAGGTTGTGCTGGAAACGTAGGGTCCTACAGGGAAAATTCACTAAAACCTCGATATCTCGTCAGGAACACGCCACGGGCCCAAACTGTTTTAACCCTAAACATAATTCACCAAGGTCTATAAGATGCACTAATCCCCGACTCAAAAGTGCTCTTGCACCTGGGAAGATTCTCTTGTTAGTTTTTTTTTGCTCTAATAAGTATTATGGAATATTTTTGATACTTATTTTTGATTAAAAACTTAGATTATCACATTGTATGTGTATGTGCGTATTTCAAGTAAAACATCTCCTATGTTATTGAAAATAAAACTAGTCTTTTGTGAATTATTTGCAAATAATTGAACTAAGTTACAATATCAAAAAGATGCTAAAAAGGTGCTGAGAAGGTGCTGAGAAGGTGCTGAGGTGCTGAGAAGGTGCTGAGGTGCTGAAGAGGTGCTGAGAAGGTGCTGAGGTGCTGAGAAGGTGCTGAGGTGCTGAGAAGGTGCTGAGGTGCTGGGGGTTCCAAATCTGCACTTTCCCCCTTGTTATGATTATGAAGAATCGACTGATATTAATCTAAAATGTCCAATATGTAATGAAACAATGATTGATCCTGTAGTAACTCAATGTCATCATTCATTTTGTCGTTCATGCTTAGAAAAATGGATCCGAACTGATAAATTAACTTGTCCTACATGTCGAAAAGGGTGTGGGTGTGGATGGATGTGGGTGGGTGTGGCTGTGGTGTGTCTGTGGGTTTCGAATGAGGAGTAGCAAAGAATCACACCCACACCCACACCCTTCATCTTGTAGGTTCATAATATTCGAAGGAAGTACCTTTGTATCCATATGTCAATATTTCGAAATAGGTATATCAAAAACAGCAGAGTTAAGAAATGAAAAGTACGTCTGTGAGTTTGTGTGAAAAGATGGAAATGAAATGATAACAACATGAGAAAGATATGTTTATTATTTTTTTTTGTTCTATCCTGTGTCATATGAACGCATGAGCATACGACAAGAAAAAAGAAAAATATCGACTTAGACTGTATATCGACTGTGTATTATTCATCATGGCTGTCCTGGATTTATAGAATATACGACGATATAATTCTTCCTATACTGATAGCTATTATGTAAAGTAAATGATAATTAGCGTTACTGTTTTGAATAAAAATCACTTTATTCTGAACAATTATTAATAGTTATTATTGATTGACAATGATTGACAAAAGATTGACCGATGATTGACAATGATTGCAATCAGCTTTTTCCCCCTTGGTAAGGTCGAAAAAACTCGAAATTTCAATTAACGATTTTTTTTCGATGATTTAAATCATCGAGAAAAAATCGTTAATTGAAATGTTTCAGTTTTTTCGACCTTACATAAACATTGCTATGCATATTAGTCAAACTAGTTTATTTTTCTCACAATGTTTTTTTATATTCGACGAATCAATAAACATAAAATTTAACATTTGCATACTCTAAGCCATAAAATAAAAATAATGTCTTGTCTTCACATTAATTTACATATAATAAGATGAAGCATAGAAAAAAAAACTTGGTTACAAAAGTTATAGTCATCGCATTACGTTAATCAAATAGATTTCTATTCAAAATAATAAGTCTGTTCGAAGAATTTTTTTTTTCTTCATTGGCTATCTCAAACTAGTGGTTACAAAACATGAATAGAATGTTTCTTTGAATACAGCATACATTCGCAGAGAAACACAGAACAATCACACTACCGTCAACTTTTTGTCCATTTTTCGTCATAATTTTGAAATAGCTCGCTAAAGCAAGCTCATATTTTCAGAGATTTTGCAGAAGGCAGAGATACATCTGTACAACGAAAGAATAAACCTTCTGGGCAATCTGATTGATGAGAAAAGTTAATAACAATGGCCAAAACGTCATCGCGTTACGCTCGTACAAACTGATATATATGTACTATGATTAAACTAGACAAGTACCCAATGACTAGATATTAAAATAAGATATTTTAAGTTTCGCATGAATACATTCTTCATCATTGAGTATCAAGTCTACTCTATTTTTTGATCATTCAACGAATAACCAAAGGTTCTTTACTTGATTATAGTACCTATCAAAACGATAATAGTTCTATGCTAATTTTCATTTCATTTTTATCGATATAAACAATATTTCGATAACCTATTTTTATAAATTTCAAATACAATATTTCATAATCTATTCTATTCACTCTTCGTCTAATTTCCGATTTGTTAATTGTCAAACTGTCACACTTAAAATATATTGCATCTGATTCGCAACTCATAGTTAACTAGAAAATCAATATTGACATCAAATATAAATGTTTTAACTGATTGTAGTCGTTGAAGTGGAAAGAAATATTAATAGGCATATAGAATGAAAGGAAAATAGTTGATTTTGGTTCTCTTAATAGTGAAACGACTCTGATGAAACTTAGTACTTGAGATTTTATTTTGAAATTGTTTAAAAATTATACATTGAAATTTTAAAAATCTTTGTTTATGAGAGTAAATATAAATGATAGATAGAATCCTGAAAAAAAAGAAACTAAATTAATAAACAACAAATCTTTTAGGATTTGGAATATTTGTATACCTAATTAAAAATATGTTCCTGTTTTTTTTCTCATCGATGTTTTTTTTACCTTAGTAAGAGCAATGAATATATATATATATATAGATTGCTTGATTCTATTACGTCGTTCATTTGAATCAAATTATTATTTTATGTCAACATACCATTGGTAAGAAACATGAAAACAATGATTTTACGAAATATAACTAAGTAGTAAGAGAGTTCTTTGAACAGAAAATCAAATGAAACCATTGAATATGTTGTTTAACTGCTCTGCAGAATGAATATTAGATAGAAATTATTATTTTTTTTCTTGTCAAAACAATAGAAAATTCTGTATTAATTTATTAAGGTCTTTGAAGATTTTAACATCTTGGTATCTTTTTTTTTCTTCGAATGAATCGATCATCGAAATAGTTTTCTATTGACATAAATGCATTCTGATCCATTTAGTTTGCAAAAACAAAAATTCTTTCGACAATTGATATTTATTCAAGCTTATTAAACTCTACTGAATCATGTAGATATTCATACTTATTTTATCATGATTAGAATTGAATGAAATTAATTTTTATTTTATTTTTAATTTTTAACTAGATCGTATATTGTCTGTCAAACAACAACCAAGTAACCCAATGCATTTGGTCTATTCGCTTCAATACATTCTATTATATTTTTTATTCGGACACTTCAATATAAATTATGTTAGTACAGTCTGGCCATCATCGAATTCATCGAATATTAGTTTGTTAGGTCTTTTCGAATATGTGCAAAATGTAACTGGTACTGATGATCTATACACTCAACCTTCGGCCATGTTTAAGGCAGCAATATTACTTTCCTATCAATATAATATGACAATCGAAACTAGATACCTAGGATGGGAAATAGATACAACGACGGGCGTTGTAATAGATACACTTGATACTGCATGTCGTGATCTTACTGCTTCGAATGTTGTTGGCATTGTTGGTCCTAGTTTATCACGAGAAGCTCAATTGATAGCTCCATTAGGTGATAAAATAGGTATACCTGTCATATCGTATTCAGCAACTGATTCTGGATTATCTAATCGAACTGTTTATCCAAATTTTTATCGTACTGTACCATCGGATGGAATAGCTGCATTAGCCCTTACAAAATTATTCAATCGATTCAATTGGACATCATGTGTAATAATTTATCAAAATGATGCTTTTGGATCTAGTGGAGCCAATATGATTGTATCCATATTTAATACTAGTGGTATAAGTGTAAAACAAATGATTTTATTTGATATTAATACACTTACCATTCAAGGAGATTTAGGACCTATTCTATCTAATACAGCAACAAGAATTATTATCCTATGGGCTCAATCAGCTTATTCAACTATGATTTTACAATCGGCTCTTGAAGATAGTGTAGTTGGTCCATATTTTACATGGATACTTAGTTCTGATGTTTCATTGAGTTCTTTCAATCAAACATTACAACAAAATCTAATTGGAATGCTTCAAATTGAACCAGCTACAGCAATATATGTTAATGAACTAATCAATCAAACATTGTTAAATGCAGCAGCCAATTTATGGCAACAATATGAACCATCAACATTTCCTGGAACGGCCAATATAACTAATTATGCATTGTTTACATTTGATGCAACATGGGCATTGATTCAAGCCTTACAAGCAATGTGTTCATCAACAATAAATAATTCTTCTTCGTGTTTATCACTCAATCAGTCATCGTACTGTTTCGATCATCGTCTTGTTCAATCTACAGCATTAATAAATAGTATGAATTCCATAAACTTTCTTGGTGTCACTGGTCCTATACAATTCACTGCTAATACAACAGATCGTGTTAATGGTTTGTATTATTCTATAAAAAATGTTCAATCTATGTCAAATGTTTTAACTTTCGTACCTGTATTAAAATATTCGTATCCTGGTGATTGGACATTAACTACTCCAAATACTACTATAGTATGGCCAGGTAATTCATCAACACAACCTACTGACAAACCTATTCTTAGAGGTGTAACATTACGTATTAGTGTTATTGAATCAGTGCCATTTACTATAGTTGACTATGTGGCCAATGGATCCAGCAATAGTACATTACAACTATCGGGCTACATAATAGATTTGATTAAAGCCTTACAAAAGAGTCTTGGGTTTGTTCCAACTATTACTCTGGCAAATTCAAATAAAACGTATGATCAGTTAGTTCTAGGAGTACGCAATGGTGCTTATGACATGCTTGTAGGTGACGTCACTATTACTTCTACACGACGAGAATCAGTCGACTTTTCTAAGTCAATATTTGATAATTCTTTACGTATAATTATGAAAAAAAATCCTACTGCATCTGTCAAATTATTTGCATTCATGAGACCATTTTCAGTTGGTCTTTGGCTATTAGCATTAGCTGCTGTTTGTTTTTCTGGTTTTCTGTTTTGTTTAATTGAAAGACAAGAAAACGAAGAATTACGAGAGCGACCATTATTCTCTCAATATATCATGAGTCTATGGTATAGTTTTTGTAATATAGTTGGATGTGGTGCAGGTTATGACGCTTGTACAGCTCCTGGACGACTATTTACTGGTGGTTTATATATTCTAAGTGTAATATTAGTTGCAACATTTACAGCAAATCTAGCATCGTTTTTAACAATCGAAAAAACACAGAATAGTATAACTGGAATCGATGATATTAAGAATGGAAAGATACCATTTAATCGTATAGGTATTCATGTTGGTACAGCTTCTGAAGATTTTTACTTGAGTGAAGTTTCGAAAGGCATACGAAATTATTATCAATTAAAATCGACACAACAAATGTATAATTATCTACTCTCAGATACTATTGACGCAGGTTTCATTGATAGCGGTATTGGTGACTATATAACAAATAATGTTTATTGTAACTTAACCTTGGTCGGACAAGTATTTGATATTAGTGCATTTGGCATCGTCATTCCTCAACAGTGGATCTATGCACAAGATTTAGATGTTGCTATTTTAGCATTAAGAGAAGCTAGTGTACTTGATAATTTACAACAACAGTGGTTTGAAATGCAAGAGTGTCCTACTGTAACTCAACCAGAGAATTCAATAGGAATCAACGAAATATGTGGAGTATTCTTAATTTTTGCTGTGATTTGTGTGTTAACGTTGCTCTTCTATGCATGGAAAAAACGAGAAGATATCAAAATTTATTTACTACCATTAATAAGAAGAAAAGACATTCCACCCAAAGACATTCCACTGGAATAATCATGTTTTTCTTTTTAAAATTTTTCGATCAATGTCTTTTCCACTTCATCATATCGATTTATACTATACATTATTTTATTTTATTTTCTTTTTTTTTCCAGTTTTTATTCTATAGTGTTGATAGTTTTCTCTTTTGTCTAAACATTTTTCTTAGCTTTTATTTAGAAGAAAAAAAGATTTAAAACTTATCTCAGAATAAATTCAACTTTGTTTTTTTTCATTCTTGTACTCTTGATCATGAATCAAAAATATCTAGAAGCCTTGTTTATCATCGAATCCAATGTTTATATTAGTAAAACTATAGAATTAAGAAATAACGAGCGAATCTCGATAATGTAAACATGAATCAATATGTCTATTAAAAATAGATGCAAAACAAAATTTTGATTGCCTACATTCTATGTTATAAATAAGTATAATAAAATTTGAAAAAAAAACTCTCGGAATTCTAAATTTTAATTCTAAAAACATTGCAACAAATATTTATTTCTATATGTTGATCGTGTTTGATATTTATTGAATATTACTCTTCTATATGACACTAATAGAAGACTATCGATGGTACTTTGAAGAATAACACAACGATTCAGATCGATCGTATTACAAAAGAAAATGTTTATTTATTTTTTCCACTTAATGTATAATGAAATTTTATTCTTAGTAATTAAAAATCGAATGTGAAATTTGGGGTGTGGGTGTATGGATTGTCTTCACACGTACTACACCCACACCCACACGCTCCTTTGTTTCTGACAAACTCTAGCTGCATAGCAAAATACTATTTTGAATAATTTTAAAAAGATATTCTTTTCTCTTACTGTATGTGAAAAAATGTCAGATTAGATCAGCATGAAAAATGAATTTATAAGCAGATTTATGATAAATTAATTGAACAAAAAAAAACATGTGACAGTTGTGAGATAGAAATGTCTAAAAGAAGAAGAGCAATATTTCATATTGCATATTTCAAGCATTTAATTAAATTGAGTAATAGTGATGTGAATAACTCAAAAATGCAGTAAATTACATGTTTGGCAGATGTTTTATCAGCGAATTACTATTAACATAGGTCAAAAAGTCATAAAAATGCTGATGTAAAACTGTCATAATAAATAGAGTCCAGACAAAGCCCTAAAATGATTACTTTGAATAAAATGAGAATCGTCAGAAACAAAAAAAACAACAATTTAAATATTAGTTTTGCGACTTTTTCCGTTACAGTGTTGGTTTGTTTGAAGAAGAGATCCATAACTCACATTCGAACCCGCAAACTTCTCATCCCTTTCTCTTACACAGTGCGACCTAAATGTGTAGTGTAGATGTTTGGGAGCATGGGAAATTTCAGATCTTTTTTTGGTCCTTGGCTTCTTAAGATCTTCGGGAAGAGAAAGCATTCTGGAAGTTTGAAGATTTGATTAATTCTGTTCAACTCATCGAGATCTATCTACCTTGAAATTTTCCAAGATGTTGGACTTTGTTGTTTTCAAGAAGCTTTCGAAAAGAAGAATATCTCTCGACATTAGTAAAACAATTCAAAAAACAAACCAGAAATTTAGATAAAAGTTAGAAGATTTAAATAAAGTACTTGATAAAAAATACACAATGAGTAAAATTTCTAAAATTAACGATAATTCTTTTTCAATATTGATCGATTATCAACAACGTCAAACTTTTAAAACAATTTTCACATATTGAACAGAAGTTTTGTTTCAATTTTCTTATCAACATGAAACTTGTTGTTTTCATCGTTGTTATGTGCTTGTCATTTTTCATTTTCATACTTCATTTATCTCAATCTATGATTAGTATTATCACATAAGAAAGTTATATATTCGATTACACGAGTACATACAAAAAAAGAATAAGAATGGGAAAAAATTTGACTGTGTTTCAACTTTTGAATATTTTATACGAGTTTTGAATTCAAATATTCATTGAACAGTGTATTTGATCAGTTCATCATAATTTGATTGTTCACCATATTTGGCATAAATGGTAACATCTTTCGAACCAACTGTGATTTTCCTTCGTAGTATTGGATCTGTATATCCTTCACTTTTCAGCCATTGTGAATCAACTGTTACATTCACATCCGTTGCACCTGAAATTAGACAATGAATTTCAATAGCAGAATTGTTTTTCAATACTCCATTCATGGGTGTATATAAAGTTGACATTTTCTAGTGTGAAAATTAGCATAAATAACAGGAAATTTCATTGGTTGTTGAAGTTTAGTAACATCAAGGCTAAATTTAACAACTGGTCCCGATGAAAATTCATAATCAGTATTTCTATCACCATAAATAAGAAGTTCATGTAAACCTGTTTGTTCAGGTGTGCATAAGATATGGGTGGTGATGGAACTTGTTTGGCTTCGATTTGAAATACAATAGAAGATGCATATTCTCTAGGATCAGTCCTTTTCTTAGCCATAATAAGTGCATCAAAAGTATCATCTTGATCAGGCGCAAACTTACATCGCCAGATATCTTTATGTCGATCATAATAGACTTGGTATCCACCTATCACTTCTTGATTTTATTTGTTCTCAAGACGTCCAAGAAGTTCAACATTCTTAGGTGTTTTTATAAGAATTTCTGCACAACCAATTCTATTATTAAGTGTGATAAGATGTGTATTTTGAGGAAAAATAACTTCTAAATCTAAATCAAAATAGTTGTTCCACATTTTTGGAAAACTTACAATATTTTTTGGCATTTCTTTTACATCCAAGATAAAATCAAATGCTGATATATATTGGTCTACTTTGTGAATTGTCATATTTTCCATAGAACTTGATTTTATGTCGGCCAATATTTCTTGGTGCAAAATAACAACGATAAAATTTTTGTTGCTTATCAAACATGATATAATGACTACCTTCAATATTCATATTGTTTAATTTTAAATATGCCACAAGTTGAACATATGATGGTACTCGTAGAAAAATCAAAATATATAATTTACCCGGTAGGAGTGATAGTACACCTTGATGATGTGAACTAATTAATTCAATTTGTAAATCGAAATATTCTGGTCGAAGATATGGCAATTGTAAGTATTCGGTTATTTTTATTGGAGTTTTCAATAATTGCCATTTTTCATTTTTTAGGTAAATGATGATAAATCATTTGATTTGGACGTGGAAAAAAAATAAAAAGATGTTAATTCATGTTTGAATTGTTTTGTTTCATCTACATGGTCAGTACCACATGTTGAATCAATTAAATACCAGTGACTATCGATTTCAACAGCATTCCATGCATGATTTGTTTCCGTAGGAATATCTATAGAATTCTCCAATCCAAATCCTTTTGCATATCCATTGATTATTTCACATGGCATCTCTAATCTGTCACATAAATATTTATATAGATTAGTGTAACCAAAACATAAACCTTTCTTATCTTGAAATACGTATTGTGCTGTTTGATCACCATAGTTTCTGCTGAAAAACGATACAATATCATAGTCAAAATATTACACGCGATCCAATAAAAGATAATCCAATGACGATCGATAAAACATATTCCTTCCGAAAATGTTTTGATAGTTTCAAGGAGTTATTCAAGACTTTCTGGTTGCCATGATTCAATAGTTGATCGATAGAGACAATTGTCTATGACTTGTTGACGTTGTTGAACAAATGAATCATGAAATGCTTGTAGATCTACAATTTGAATTTCGATATGATCATTGGAATTAGTAAGTTTAGTAATGATTGCATCATCATCATTTCTATTCTTTAGAGAAAAAATAGACTCTTCCTTTATATTATCATTGGTACCATCATTATAGCTAAATGTGGTTGCTATTGATGTAGAAATTTCTGCTTCTTTACTACTATTACAACCCATTTCTTACTTTGATCTAATAGAAGGATTTCTTTTTAATGAATTGAAGAATGTGTTCGTTTTTTTTTCAATTTCATTTTATCATGCTTTGTTTTTTTATTTAAACACCATGGAAGCAAAACAAAGTAATTTTTGATGGCAACAACAAGCATATGCGTTTCTTTTCTTTTGGTTATTTTTGTTAGCAACGCTAGAGAGAGAAAAACAACTAAATGACATTACAAATACAAAGCGAAGAGAAGAGAAAGAGAGAGCAATAAAAAAGAAAAATGTTGTTACGTATAAGATATCAGAATATTTCTATCACAAAACTACAAAACGTACACCAATTTACTTTTCTTGAATGAAATCTACACATAATCGAGGAAAAAGAATTTCAATAATGCTATAAAAGAAAAACTTTTCAGTTCACTCTTCGATGAACTAAAATGTGAAAAATCATGAGTCTCCATCAACATTACAACAGTGCAGCAAATCGTATAAAGCAGAAAAACTGTATCGAATGAGAATGCCTCCGAGGATGTGGATGTCAGTATGGTTTTTCGATAGAGTAAAGATCCACACACTTAACGACAACTAACCCATGTAAAAAAAATAAGCAGAAAAATCAACAGATGCATGATTTT